TGTGTGTGTGTGTGTGTGTGTGTGTGTGTGTGTGTGTGTGTGTGTGTGTATGACTATTAAGCATTGTACTTTAAATCATTAATGACTTAATTCTGACCTGCTGGAAAGAACTGGCTAATGAAGCTAAAGTGTACATATTATTGAAATAGCCAAACATGCAAAACAGCTTTTGGAAAAATAGATTTTTAAGGATTTGGATAGAAAGTATGATTCTATTCCTAAAGCTTCTGAAATTGAAGATATTTCAAAGGAGATGTAGGTCTTTAAACTATGAAGTAGAATTCTAGATGAACAATCCCAAATGAATGTGTAAATAATTTGGGGATGAAAATAGGAGATATCTTGAATAACAGTGTCTTAACATGCAGCTCATTCCATTGTGCTACAATTAAAAAATAATGTCTATACTCTGTACTGTTAGAATAGTTCAATCTTATGAGTATTCTATTTTTTTCAAAAAGAAAATATCAGTGGGGGTTATCTGGGTGAGAAGATTATAGCACATTGTTTCTTTTTATTTGCGTTACATTGTGTTGGGAAAAAAAAACCCATTAGGTATTATATTAGGGGAAAATGTGTCTTAAAAATGTATTTAAAAGCCAAATACAAAAGAGTACTAAGAACCTGTAAGAAGAGCACAGGATTAAGCTAAAAGATCTTTATAAACACTGGGTGAAAATGCACTTTTAAAGCTGTATTGTCGGCTTTCTTGTTGCAAAAGAAATTGATAATTCTATTGGTTGAGATGGATGGTGTCACATTACCTTAAAACTGAGAGGAAGTACAATTTCTTAACTGCAATTTTGTAGTATCTCCATCAAAAATAACTTTCAAGACCAGAATAAACACTAGAAACTATTTGAATATCAAGATAGTTAAATTGTTCAAATGTAACTACTTGCTTCTTGTTTGTCCTTTTTGTTTTTGCTTTTAAATGAATTCACATCTTTGGGCCCAAAAGATGATATATCATCGTGTTGAAAATATTTATGAAACTGATCTCAGAACCATTGTAATCTTTTATTGAGACCAGCTTGAAAAGGGTATAGACATGGGTAAATGTTAGATTAGCTTTTGAGAGACACATGGATTTTGTTAACTATACACTAATGACTGATATAAATCCCAGGAAAACTGTAGAAGCTTGAAACTGGACCCTCCACAGTTAGGCTTTAAAATAAAATATCTTTTAGATGTTATCTATCACTAGGCTTTTTGTTTATCTTCCATTCTAGTTACACAAGGTTGCTCACCTTGTCTAACTCCATTGATTGGCTTAAACTCTTCCTCTCACTAGGCATTCCCTTCAAGTGCTGCCTGTAGAAATCCCATTCTTCAAGGTTTGCCTCATTGGCCCCTTAAATGCACCGAGCTGGAATTAATTTCTCTTTGCTCCTCTTATATTCCATGAGCACATCCATTATTGAATACAGAACGTTCTACTTAGTTGTATACACATCATTGAGTCGCAAAAGTAGAAACTGGAAGGAAGGGCTTTGAGATAATCCTGTTTTCCTCGCTAGGTTTGCAAATTTTAAGGGCAGGAATGAAGTCATATCTGGTTTTTTAATCTCGGACTTGCCTCCTTTCTTCATTATATAATGAAGTGCCTAATTTAGTGATTGGGAGGGGCAACCAACCAGAATCTTGAAGAAATACAAGTGCTGTATTAAGAAGTGCTGTATTTCATTCAGTTCTGAGTTCATGTGTATAAATTTCCTGGATTATTGCACCCTGTGGTACATTTTATACATCTAGTCAAAGCTTTGATTTTTGAGCCATGTACAGTTTTAAGTTTATCTAGAGACATTATAAATGACCAAGCAGAATTTAGATATCTTTCAGCAGATTAGCAAATGGCATTTGGTTTTCACTAGTTGTTTTGTCACTAAATCGTCTGGTCAAAGCCACATACATACATTGAATTTACTTGTTTCTCACTTTAAACTCAACCAACTACATTTAAATATCAAACACGCTAAGCCTCGGTTCATTTTTCTCGAGTGGTGTAGGTGTATTTCTAGGAGTGTGGCAATTTAAAGAAACTATTTTGAACTGTATAGCAAAATAGAAACTCCTACCGTTGGCTCCTAATCATTATTAGTTGGTTTTGTTATTTTATAAATGTAGCCCAGTAGGTGTCAGTGCAGAGTAGAGGTAAAGTCCTTTTTTTAAGTGTTAATTTTTAATTAAAAATACGTAAAAGGTTGAGGATGAAAAGACGGCAGTAACACAAAAGGTGATTTATTTTAAAATTCGTTTCTGAGAAGTTCAAAAGAGACAGGGTCTCGCTATGTTGCCCAGGCTGGAGTGCAGTGGCTATTCACAGGCGCGATCCCACTACTGATCAGCACGGGAGCTTTGACCTGCTCCGTTTCCGACCTGGGCCGGTTCACCCCTCCTTAGGCAACCTGGTGGACCCCCGCTCCCGGGAGGTCACCATATTGATGCCGAACTTAGTGCGGACACCCGATCGGCATAGCGCACTACAGCCCAGAACTCCTGGACTCAAGCGATCCTCCAGCCTCAGCCTCCCGAGTAGCTAGGACTACAGGCGCGCGCCACCGCGCCCGGCGGTCGGAATCGGCGCTGGGAGATAGAAGAGGTTTAGCTGCGGTGACGTCATTATCTACGTCAGCCTGGAACGTTTCCAAGACTTAGCTTTCGTTCACCCGCGAAACAGCGTTACTACATTGCGCACGCGTCGGTTGTCAGCACTGTATTCTGGGTAAACTGTCTCCAGAATTTCAAGAACGCATGCGTGCGCTAGTTCTTTCCTTTTACCTCGTTGCGTCCGAGAGAGCAAGATGGGTCACCAGCAGCTCTACTGGAGCCATCCAAGAAAATTCGGCCAGGGTTCTCGTTCTTGGTAAGAAACAGAATGTGGTTTTGGGAAAGGGTTTCTCAGAGGGGCGACGCTGCTTGAAATCTAATGTAGAGGAACGTGCAGGCGGCGCGTTGGGGGAGGCCGAATCGGAGCTGTGGCTGCCGCCATTACAGGCCTCTTACGGATCCGTGAAGGCCGGTGGTGCGGGTGGTGCCTCAAGCGCGGAATCCTTTCATTTCTGCTACCTGTCGTAATGCCATCTCTCTTACAGCCGCGTCTGCTCAAACCGGCACGGTCTGATCCGTAAATACGGCCTCAATATGTGTCGCCAGTGTTTCCGTCAGTACGCGAAGGACATAGGCTTCATTAAGGTACGCGTCAGCAGCACGCCGTGCTCCTCTGTTTCTGTGGGCGGCGAACGCGCGGGCAGTTAGTGTGAGCAGCCGCCCGACACCGTTTTCCTGTTTCAGTTTGCAGGGCTGTTCCTCAACAGGCGAGTGACCCTGTTGAGAGTTTGGTAGTCAAGTTAATAGAAGGGGGAGGGCGAAGGCCTTAAAAATAGTCTTTCTAACACCCTTTGACCCAGCTCTGCTAGTTTTAGTGGCCATGTATTATTACGTTGGATAAAACTATTCAGAACCACTACTGCTAAATTTTAGGTATCTTGAATCGTGCCTAGACATTCTGTAGCCAAATATATGTGTTGACCACTGCCCTGAAATGTTGGAGGTAGTGTCATATACTGGAATGAGCTTGAGGTTTGGGGCCAGATACTTGTGAAGATTGAGACAGGTGAAGTCACTTTAAAGCCCTGCCTGTGAAAAATGAGTGGCAGGGTTGTTACAAAAATTAGTTAATAGAGATGAAGCTTTCTTAACTCCTAATAATCACTTATTAGAAGTTGCTTCTTAACAGGTGAAAATTCTGTACTTGTGCTTAGAGATAAAATTACTGGCCTGATTCATGTTTTGTTTACCATGTTGAGTAGAACCTCCTTGTTACAAATAGGTATCTTTGTGTTGATGTATTATAAGGCATATAAACTGTTAATGTGAGAGCTCTGGCAGAGACAAAGTGTCTGCCAGATTTTTACAGTTTATCAAATGCTTAACAAGTGTCTGCTTGGTGTTAACAATGTGGAAGTTCAAGGGACTCTGAGAGGTAGTATATCACAGATGAGAGAATAAATTCGGGACCCACCCCTTAACTGTATGCCCTCATTTCCCCAGAGGCTAAGATTAAATGAGTTAATTTGTGAACAGCGCCAAAGTATTATCTGTATAATGACCTACTTAATAATCATTCTGAGCTTTTGGTAAAATCATTTTACATAGTGTTTCTCTAGTGGGAAATTTCATTGAGGGAAGAAGTGACAATACAATACTTAAGTTCACATTCTCAAGTATAATTGTTCAGGTTTGTGAAACAGCTTGTAGTGAGTATTTCAGTGAATATTTAAACTGTTTAGATTTTGATAGCTAGTTAATAAGTGGGTCACATTTCCAGTTTAAATCTCATTCTATAATGAACCAGTTTTTGTGAGAGTAAAATGGATATTTAAAGCATTTGAATTAATTCATTTCCTATCTGCTTTTCTTTTCAGTTGGACTGAGTGAACTTCCATGAATGAATCATGCAAGCTGTCTACTGCAGAAACAATGTCAGATCTTTGTACATAAAATAAAGACTTCAGTTATGAGTTTTTTAATGTGAATGTCATAGTAGTCATGTGATTATAGAAACCTCTTTAAAATTTATTATCTTCTCAGTGGATTCATCTTCAAAATTTGTGGCTTGTTTCCCCCATTATATAAAAGTACTCATGCTGAATTCTGGTGAAGAGCAGTTTTTATGCTTCAAAACACGTTTTTGGTTATGTAAAGTATCTGCTATATATAGTAGCATCCAGCATATAACCTGAGACAAACTGTCTCATGGGTAATTGACTCACTATAGCGAAATGGAGCAGTGACAGTAAAACTATTGAATAATAATTGGCAAAACAAGACTATTATTAAAATCTGCTCTGGGCATTTGCCCAGAGGCGGCAGTCCTAGCTTTTGGGATAATTCATACATGACAGCTAAATTTCTCAAATATTTGTATGTGGACGGGAACAGTGATTTACTATATAGATGTGTCACTGTGTAATTGCTGGCAAAAGCAGTAATTCCTTAGCATTTGGTGGGTGAGGGCAAAAGTGGTATAAAATTATGATCTTGAAACATTTGCAGAGAAGCCGTGTCTACATGTGGGTTAGGAGCTTATTAGGCAGAGGTAAACAAAGCTGTGGGGAAGAATTCCTGGAGCCTTCTAGGAACAGCAAAGTTGTGGCTGGAGCAGTGAGAAACTTAAGTTACGGTCTTCATTATTGAGCCCTGTGGGCCATGGTTAGCTAATTTGAGATAATGCTTCTATTTGGCGAACAGATTAGAGTGCCATGACCTGGTTTTTTAAAAGGTTCACTGGGTTTTATGGGCAAAATTTTAGTGGGGCAAGGGTGGAATCAGGGAAACAAGGCTATTGGAAGAGTAGGCAAGTGACCTTGGTTTGGACGAGGATAAAATGGAGTGGTTGAGGTAGTCATTGAATGGGGACTTCTGAAAATGGAGATGACAGGTTTGTTGAAGGATTGGATGTGGGAGATAAAAACGGCTCCAAGGGGTTTGCCCTGAATATCTGGACGGCTAAAATTGCTATTGAGCTATAACTGAAAATTTGGCTTGGGGAAGAGCAGTTTGGGGCATATTGTTAGAAGTGCTAATTAGACATCCACGTGGAGCTCTTAAAGAAATTTGCATAAATTGGAGTCCATGGGAGACTGGGACTGGAGATGCAACTTCGGTTGTCCTCCCTATGAATAGAATCTGGTATTTTGGGATCTCATCCTTGTAACTAGATGAGATCTAAGCCTTAAAGTCTAGGGGGTAAATAGATGGAAAAGAGGATTGTTTCAGGAACAGGTTGGGATTCAGCAAAGTAGACCAAAGGAGGACCAAGAAAGGGCATACTTGAAGCCAAGTAGGAATTGGTCAACTGAAACGTGCCTCTAGTAAAAGTTGATCACTGCAATATCTGCAAGGAGGTGGGGAGGGGAGGCTGGAGTGGGTAAAATATCCACTGATTTTGGTTACGTAGTCCAATTTTTTTCAAAAACGACTGAATACATTGCTAGTGTACCTCCTATGGCCTTAGAAGGTGCTTATGGAAGTTTGACACACTGAGGCTTAAGTTTCAAGAGCTTCGTATTAAATCCACCTCTGCTCCTAACCCTGGGTTCCAGGAATAGGTGATGGTAAACTGCAATTGCTGCTAGGGAAGTGTCTTTAGGGAAGAGGCAGGGTTCAATCAGGGTGAGGAGAGGTAGGAAGGATATGGGGAGAAGAGGTGACCTCTGTAGGAAAGTCTGATACTGGAATAGGGCTGAGTGTGCCGATAGGGTGAGAAGCTCTCAGCTGAGCAAGTAACAAAGTTGGGGAGAAAAACATTCTGAGAGCTATACACATCTAGTGATTTAGGTAAAGGAGGATGTGAGATGTATTTGATTTGGATATGAGAGTCTTCTGTCCTGGCTTTGTATGTGGTGGTGGGAAGGCTTGTGTGGACAGGTGGTCTGGTTTCTCCGTTAACGGGGTTGAAAAGCTTACTGATAAAGATTCTGTTTTAAAATTTACATGCCAGACATGTTTTGTACACCTGAAACAAATAGAAATAAAATTTTTATGCCAGAGAAACAAAAATATAGAAAAATTTTACATGCCGGACGTGTATTTTCCAAATCTGAATATGATTCCATAAATAGCCTTATTATGTATCTGAGGAACCTGAGGCTTCAAGATTGTTATTTCCCCCAAAGTCTTCTCAAGTTAGAAAGGGATCAAAACTGTATTGGAACTTGAGTCTGTCATCTGTCTGTGCTAATTAATGCTCTTAGTACCCACAACACAAATTGTAAGGTTAAGACTGCGTCTCTTGTCTCCAGTGGTCAATTAATTATACGAAGGAAGGAACTATTGTTTCCATATTTACCTCAGCACGATACATTGCATATTAACAGTAGGTCCTCAATTGTTGAGTTGAATTACCTAGTAAAAGTTCAATAATGTTGGCAAAATATGGTAGATCCTCTGAAAGAGGTCCAAACATTGGAACATATTTTTCCGTTTGGGTCCCTTGAATTATTTAGGACTGCACGGAACCTGTTAAACGATCCATCCTGTCAAAGATTTAACTTATTAACGAAACCAGTAAGATGTTTCAACCTGTGTAAAGGAGAATTCAAAGGATCACAATACGTGATTCAAGGATGTTGAGATAAATTTATAAGCAAATATAAAACTGGCTTCTTCAACAGGGGAGGGAAGTTAATTACTATCCATCAGACAGAATTTGCGTGTCTGGACAAGTATCATATATGTACAACATTCAGAGTTGTAAAATAGCTCAAACCCAAAGTCCCACATCTACCCTAAGATTGTGCTAGACAAAGCTTTATTTTCCATGAAAACCACCTGGTAATCTTGGTCTATTTCAAAGTCACCATTTTTCTCTACAGATTTGTAGGCTTTTACCAATGTTGGTAAAAATTTTTAGTGCATGCTATGTGCTAGGCACTGTTACTGCTTTCTGAATAGCTTCTTTAATACATCAACTCTGTGAGGTATAACCCCTATTTTACAAATGAGGGACCTGAGGCACAAAGACTAACTTCCAAGATAGATTCAAACCAGGTAGTGTGTCTTGAGAATTGCTCTTATCACTAAACCGTAAATGTCCAACAATTAGGGAAAGCTTTGGCAAATAGTAGTAGTCTACAAAATAGCTTGGAGAAATACTTTTCAAGGAAAAGTGGAAAATTGTATAGGTATGTGGTACAATTTCACTGTTAAAAAATGCACAGAATAAACATGGTAGTCTGTTAGCAGTGATTGTTTTGGGGTGATAGAATTACAGGTGTTTTGACTCGAAGCAGTCAAAGATTTATTTAGGGGCGTAGCATCCAGTGGCTATAGTATAATATATAGTGCTCTAGGTACCAATATTGCTGATAAGGCTTCGGCTCCTCCCTACACAGCTCCTTCTCGTCTTAGATTGCTCTGAGAGTAAGTTGTTTCTTAGCATTGCTACCATTTCCTTCCACTGATCTCCACCTATTGATATTCTCTGTGGTCCTGTACAAGACAAGTCTAATCTCTTTTCTGCAAGAAAAAAGGTTAAATATTTAGGCATAAGGGCGCTCATGTCCTCCTGCAATCTTATTTCAGGCTCACCATTCCTGATGATTTCAACTTACAGGACATGATTTAGAGCCATCTATTAATTCCACTACATCTAGATCCTGAAAGTGTCTGAAAGCACGACTCACAGAGCAGGCATGCAGTAAAAATTTGTGGAATGAATGAATGAGCAGATTTGGTAATGACTAATTTGGTTGGGCACCAGTGCTTCTTCACTTTTTATGGGCCCTCAGTGTTACAGAAAGACCAGAGACCCTGNGGTGTAGAGGCCTGAGCACCACACTGTATTTCTGAAGCTGATGTTGAATAATATTGTATGTCAATTATAATTATATATACATATAGTCATGGGATGTGTGTGGAGTACAGTGTGGGAATGGAGTCAATGGAATTGTAATAGATAAACCCCTTGTTTTTTTAAAAGTGCCTTTTTTTCTCCCTTTCACTTCCTCCACCTCAGCCTAAGGTGGTAGTGACTGTGTTTACATTTCTGATAACACAGCTGGAGGGACTCGTGGGGAAGTGGGGGATGCTGAAACTATCGTCTTTTTCTTTTTCTATCAGACTTTGAAAAATCAGCTTCCAGTTTCCCTAAATTTCTGATCAGTTATATTTCTGAGACGTCTCATATTAACATTTGTTTGTTTAAGCCAGTTTAATACTAAAAATTAGCAATACCATTCAGTGGCAGAAATATGCCCTATCTAGAACATGTAAACATAGACAGAGATCTCACAGCTTTCATTATTATTATTATTATTATTATTATTATTATTGTAAATGTTTTTATTAAAATATAACTAGCATACAATATTATATTAGTTTTAGGTGTACACCATAGTTATTCAACGTTTATATGCCTGAAGAAGCGATCACCATGAAAGTCCAGCAACCATCTGACACTGTACCTCAATATGACAATATTATTGACTATATTCCCTATGCTGTACATTACATCCCCATGACTTGTTTGTTTTATACCTGGAAATTTGAACCTCTTATTGCCCTTTACAATTTTCCCCCTTTTAAAAATGTTCAGTTATACTTGATATTCAATATTATTTTGTATTAATTTCAGGTGTACAGCATAGTGGTTAGATATTTATATAATTTAAGAAGTGACCCCTTGACTAGTCTAGTACTCACTGGCACTATACATAGTTATTACAATATTATTGACTATATTCCCTATGCTGTACTTTATATCCCCATGACTATTTTGTAACAACCAATTTGTACTTTTTTTTTTTTTT